GTGTACTACTAGTATGTTACGGCGTTCACTCGTTTGAATTTACAGACAGTACCGTGTCAGAAAATATTGGCATACATCGTTTGCACTATTTTAACACAAATATAAAAGTCATATGACATCGAGAAATCAGTAATGTAGCTTGTTTATGATGTAATGTTCCCCCATTGACCCCTCCCATACAGTGTTTTACCGTGTCAGGCCTTGTTCAATACATTGACTACTCTCACCTTAACGCACCGGGGCTTCAGTTGAGAACCTGGTATCTATCTTTCATGACACTGGCACAATATCCTATCATGGTGTGATGATATCTTCATTAATTCATATCATCGTACGTTGTATGTATGTCATCGTTCGTTTATACTCCATATGCGCCCATCCGTATAAATCGTGGCGGGGACGCGTTGCAGTGAATAGAAATCCAGCTGTTGCACATATAAAAGAACACGCGCTGCCATTTGAGATTAACATCTAATATTAGTTTTGAACGAATTCACTAGATGTACAGTATAATTTTATCCCCCAATACTTATATTCAACATTTTCGTCTTTTCTTCAAACTATGTTTACAATTAAACGTGAAGAATGTGTGACCTTGTGACATTTGCATGCTGCCATAATTCCACTGTTGAAACTGTAAAAATTGTAATGAACACTGTATAAATTGTTAATCGTCATTTCATTTCATTTTTGTGACTATGGTACAATCACGTTTTATATTGACGTGTAAGCGATGTGGCTAATGCATATGTTTGATCGATGTAAAATAAAACTATGTAAAGCGTCCAACAACTCATGTACTAATAATAAGTTTGATTTTATTGAGTTGAATAGAAAATCGTATAATCGGCTGGTATGTCACCTAATTTCAAATTGGTTAGAAAGTTGTAAATGTTATATAAAAAGTCGGAAAAGTTCTACTGAAAGTCGTGCAAATTAGGTACACATCGTAAAAGTTGGCCCGAAAGCCATATAAGTTAAGTGGAATAATATAATTAAAGTTGTTTAAATCAAAGACATTAGAAAAAGATGTTTATTTAAATGCTTGGAATTAAATCGGAATTACAGTTATATTAAGAGGATTACTAGTAACTGAGTACCAAAATACGTGACATGAAAGGAAATACCGCAGTTGCGTGTCCCTCTTTTTCTAATATGTTTGTTTAAATATTTGTGAAAGTTTATTGGAAAATTGTAAAATTGGGTGGAAAATCGATGATGTTGAAAGTTGCTGGAAAGTCGCGAATGTTAACTAGAAAGTCGTAAAAATTGCACTGGCGTAAGTAACACGTGACAACGGCTGTTGCCAATCAAATTACGCGTTTGAATAAGCGTAGCTTCATTTATAGTCATATACCATGCCACATCATGTCTGGCATAAACCACGGAATTCAAGAACATCCATTGGTCAATTCAAGACAATCACTGATAAAGTATTCAGAAACAACTAGCCATATTTAATAATTACCGATTGCGAACATTTCACTGCACTTGCTGCCGTAATTAATTTAATGATTTTCTTACATTAGACCGTGAACACAATTTAACAAAGCCGTGCATTTGTGCCATTATTATGAACTTGTTGCCATAGAAATGGGTCGATAAGTTTTGTTAATAGCATACTCTCTGACCTAAGGGTTTCACAATCATCATACGTCACTTGTCACGTTTGTGTAGAACTATTCGCTCCCAAACGGAACAAATATTTACAGTTTTTTTACTTAAATTGTTACGAAAAGTTCTATGATTTCTCAGTAAAATGTTACTCTCTATTTTAGATATGAAAACTGTTTTTACTGTTCATCAGATGTATTAATTTCAAAGTAACCGTCTGTGGCCTAAAACGGAATAAATATTTACTATTACTGCCGATCATAGAATAGGGCGATAGATGATTCACAAAGTTTACATTTCTTGCCACGACTTCATAGAATAATACTGCATACAGGAATTATACGTACCTCTATCTAATTTTGTGCCTGAATAAATTTTAGACAAATCTTCATATTACATCGCCGGTTTTCTAACTTCCATATCATTGTAACGAAGCTCGACCAACGTGAATGTGACCACCACGACACATCTCAGCTCCCGCAATGCAAACAATAACAAATACCTTTTAAGTTTTTTGAGACCCACGCACGTGTCAATCTTTCTATAAAATATATGTGCTGATACAGGAAAACATGTATAAAGAACAAATCTACGCTTAAGTTGTATTTGAATAAAATACCTCACACTGCTACTCAATTTATTACTACCCATTATCCGGTGTCTGACATTGTATTTTAATTTTGGGTCTAAAATTTTAGACAGTTTACGTGATACACTCACACAAAAACTTACTTCAGCATGAACCACAGAGGCTGTATAAATACATTTAAAGGGTGGTGGTCGTCGCGCCAGGCAGGCACGAGATATGGGACTCATATGAACAAAAATGGCGACTTTGACTATTGCGCAGACCAACGAGTAAAAACTTGGACGTTGCCAAGCTGTAACTAGGTAATTTCTTTGGTGATTGGAGGGAATAGAAGGAGTTGTCAGTGGTAATTAGTGCACGTTGCACCCAGGTGAAAACTCGTAGTCGTGATTTTCATTAAAAACCGCATTGGATTATGGGAGAATCAATCTTTATCAACACAAACGTCACACATGCGCGGCGTGACGACCACCGCACTTTAATATGTTGACGCTTCATTCTATTTATTAAGCTTATTATTTCTGCTGAATCCTCAACTATCTTCATTAAATATTTACAAGAACATGCTTTGAAATTGTATGTACACCTATATCAAAGATACAGCACAGAAGATATCGCCATTAGTTGGGAAGTAACGTATTATGAAGATATAAGGCAACACATATTACCCAACAACGTACTCGAACAAATATCAATACTGCTTCTCACAATATCACGCGTTTTTAGCCGCAAATATCTCTAAATAGCAAGATGCGGCGCAAATGATATCGCCATTAGCTAGGATCAAACATTTTATATTAAGTTACAACGGCGAACAATTTCATATACGAGAAACTGTAACAAAATAATTGATCTGGCGATTTTCAAGAAGAAGTTAAAAATTCAATTGTTTACCGGTGGACAATGACCAATCATGATGTGTTAATAGCTCCACTATGTAGTGTTCAATCATGATGTGTTAATAGCTCCACTATGTCGTGTTCAATTACAGTAGAGCTAAACATAGAATGAATTTGTTGTTATGGGTGTGTTCATGGTTGCTATGGGAACACCAACCTAACATAGTTATGTGTGTTATACATCCAGTTTGCAGTTTAACTATTTATATTGGCCTTTTTAGAATTACATCCATACATACTAATGATGTCACATGATATCTAGAGTATTTGTTTACTGTTGCGAATTAGAGATATGTTTTTAACTATGTAATACGGGCATTGTTATGGTTGCTATGGTTACGACCACCTAACAGCCAACGTAGATGTTACCAAATGTCCATGCAATTTATGCATATTAATGAGGACTTTCAAACTAATTCGTAGTCTTTAATTATAACTATTCAATAATTTCCAAAGATTATGATTACATACTATCATTTTCTATATAATATATTTATCGTTCCCTGCAGCTTTGACCAATTTAAAATTCAGATCCATTTATTAACAGTGTATATATTTTAGCCAAATGCTAAACGGTGACGAGTTTGGCTAAAATCCTCGGGATCTGTACATAAATACTTAATAATGGAGAAGCCTGGATAAACAGCAAAACAACATGCACGAAGCTGTGATTGAATCAATGAAATTTGTGTTCGACAAACACTTTGATAGTCTGTTTTCGTAAGATTTTCATTTTTAGCTTCGGAAAGACAACGATATTTTTAATTGAACTATTCATAGATAATGAATAAAATATGTCCAATAAGGTCCTCGTTTTTTTTTTAAAAAGACGTAAAGGTGATCGGCACAGTTCATCATAGTTAGAGAAAAACACAACACTTGTATGTATTGGTTGCATGCACTGAAACAAGATTTGGGGTGATTTCCTTACGATCACGTGATACAAGTGGCAAGTTCTAATTTAGTTTGCGTGTATTACTTACTGAAACCATCACTGCAACCCTCATGTCCACCAGTACAATTACTTTTCAGTTTTGTTTAGGAAATATTCCCTAAATATATTTACTCGAGACCAATTTCCGAATCGTCGAATGCTGAGTCAACCTTTGCATGTTCTCATACCACTCCCCAAAGAATAAGAGTCAAGCATGGGGATGCTCGAAGTCAACAACATTTTACAACTGGTCTTGTAATACTACTATGGAACATTATGGGACAATATACAACTAACATGTCTTAGCAATGATTCTAATGCAGTAATTCTTATTTTCAGTAGGTTACATTTGTTTATTGCTTTACAATACACTTGTCTGTCTATGCACACTTACCCATACAATAAACTACTTATCAATACACATTTTTTCACTTGACATTATTACCTACTGTTAAGATGATGACAGTCTTCACAAATTGAGTTTTTGACCATATAGACAAATTCATAATTTTCAAGGAAAAGCAATGTCTGGCATTTTTTACTTCTTTTCAACTTGCAAAGCAACATCCATGCAATCTTCACAAACAAGATTTTAAACTACTTTTACCAGTGTACAGCTGTTTGAAAGCATTTTCACTTTACACACAACTTTCCCTTTCCTTTGCCGAATACTCAAGACTTTTAAAACTGCTTTTACACCATTTTAAAAAACTTACAAATAACCTTTTCCATCAAACAACACCAGTATTTGTAAACCACATTTCAGACTTTCCAGACAACTTTCTTGACATTCTAGACAAAGCTTCTGACATCACAGAATTCTATATCCTTTGATATGTACTAAAATTTATAGGCCCATGTGTAATATGTTACACACGTATCGTAGCAGTGGTGCACTAAAAAATAGAGCTTTAATAGGTTAGGCACAGTAAAATGCAGGCATGTAAAAGTTATGAATTCAATGAAAGTTTAAAGCGGGGCAGTCGTCACCTGCACATGCATCAGATGGCCATAGCGTGTCATTGTTTACACACAAGAGTCTACCAATGAGCCTTTGCATTTTTAGCATGTGTTTTTATTGTCGTTTCGGACTCAATTCCCGCGCATATGCAGCCGACATCCTTCTCACTTTAATTTTGACTATAAACTTCAATTGTATTCTTAATATCATTTAAGTCAGTGATAATCATCTTAAAAACTAATTTCATGGAATGCTGCTGGCAATCATTTATCAGAGAGCTGTTCGGTATATTTGATGTTTATCAAACATGTCTAACCTTCCCCAAATCCACCTATACATCTATTGCTGTGCTGAACTATTCTGATTT